GGATGCTCTGAGGAATACAAAGTTGAATATATTCATGAAGACCACACCCACTACAAAACGCCACAGTACTATGTCAAATGGAAGGGATACCTGCCCAAGAAAAGCACCTGGGAACCTTTAAGCAAACTACCCAACGCCTAGCTGGCCATCCAACAATACCTTGCAAAAAAGACTAGGAAGGAGGGGACCCTCAGGAAGGAAGGGGATTATATCATGAATGACATTTCAATACTTGTATTGAAAACCTGGGAATTGAAACCTGGGTCTCAGGGAAAGCCTTATGTTGACCAGAGTGGACATGAAACTGCCCAACTGCCAGTTGGGTCAAACCCTGGACCACCAGAGATAGATGACCCCAAACAGGGGGAACAGAAACCTGCCAAGTGTCAATACTGGAGGTTCAAAATCAACATTGGAGACCCTGGAATCAAACCCTGATCCTCCAAAGACTACTCAAGTCACACAAAGTGGACAGAAAACTGCCAACTTGTTAAATTGCAAACCCAAGTTGACAAGTTACTCTGAGACCTGCCAGTCTCCTGAGGACAATTCCCCAAATGGTCACCAGATTGCTGCCAACCTCGCGCCACCAAAGATCTGGACCTATGCAGAGGTTGTAGCTTCCCTTAAGGAGGTTGAAACAAAACCTACTGCTAACTCTGCCAATGACCACCAGCAGCTTCCAGTCTTCCGTCCAGAATGGGTAGTACAATTGAACTACTCAGGTGACGTGGTGAACAGTAGCAGCAGAACAAAGCATTGCCACTTCTATTCACCAGAGCAGGCACAACCTGGATCTGCTGCCCTCAAGACTCCAATCCAAGATCTATGCCCTGCCAGTGCCTTGTCTGCAAACCTGAACCCTGCAAAAATTTAAGAAGCAAAAACCCATGGTATAAAAACCCCAGCAGTATGGTGATGACCATATTGTCATTTTTAATAATAAAGTTTTATGAACCTTTGGTTTGAACAAATCTTACCTTATCTAGTCTTAGTGATCTTCCATCTTAACTCCAGCCAAGTAGACCATCAGACAACCACCCCCTCTGGAGACCAACCTGCTGACCCTTCCCAGGCACTATACCGTCCCCCAGGAGCCCCCCTTTGGACCTATGCATTTTATCAAATACCCGCCCAACCTTGCCTACGCAGAGTATGACTTGGAGACCATGCTCATTGCCAATCCCTTGGCAAGGACTAGAGAAACTGAATAAATAGGTTGTGAAGGAAAGAGGATCAAGGTGCTGCCCTTATTGTTCAAAGACAAGTACAATTATCTGCCTGCCTACTTTGTTCCCATGACTCTGCCCTTAACCTCGCAACCCAACTGCCCAATAGAGACCGCCACTGCGGCCGAGACTATGTCCCCCCAACTGTTTGGAGTACTCTACATTACTTTGACAGGAATGGTAGACAATATGGTGCCCAATTCAGGGCCCTGGTCTTTGCTTGGGCAATCTGTATCCTATATTATCAAGTTAGCACCCATCCTATGGTGGTCATTACCCTCTGGCCCGGCTGTATTCTGTCCCAAGCCAACCAATGTCTCTACCTATGCCTGGCTTCCTGACATGCTGACTGTTGTGAGGCTTGTTCTGGGCCCCAAAAGCTATGCCTGAGCCTTGGGGGTTGGCTGGGCCTGGGCAGGATAATTTTAGCTTCCCAGGGCCCCCAGTTCAAGCCCACCCTCCATTTAATAATTTGGGGCTCCCAATTGGGAGCCCTTTTTTTAATCAATAAGTTTAAGCTCAAGAATTCTTGTCAGTCCAGTATAAGTTTTGTAACCAGATTGAAGATGTTCTCATGACATCTGCAACCAGTTCTGCCGCAATCAATTAACATCCAAGCAAAGATAGGCCACTAACAGGCCAAACAGCTGTTCCTGAAGAACTTAAAAATAACAACAAGCCAGCCAACCATACAAAAGAATTCAAGATGCCCAAATATGCCAACCAGATAGCCCAGGAATAATGCCCAGAGGCATCTGCAGGTAAGTAACTATATAAGCCAAGAGCACCTGTGAGAATATGTATTGTCATTCTTACCCAATAAAAGTTTATTATGAACCTTTGGTTCACCAATATATTTCCATACATATTTCTGATACTCTTTCACCTGCATTTGCCCAGATACCAAAACTCACCTTCAGGAGTTGAATATCAAGCCCCAGCTGGAGACCCAGAAGCGCCTGATTACTACTGCCTCCCCTGAAGCTCTTTCTGATCCTATACACTTCACTGAGTATTCCCTGAATCCCAATCAAGAACCCTGAACTTTGAAAGACCTACAGTGGTACACTCACCCAGACCCACCTAAAGATTTCTACCACATTGTCTGCAACAGCAAAGAAATAACTATATATCACATGATATTTAATGAGAAATACAAGAACCCTTCTGCCTACCTGGTTCCAATGAAACTGCCCTTAACACCTAAACCAACTGTCTCAACCCCACCTACTTCTGACGCTGCTGGCCGGAGTAGTCAATTCCTGGGAGTGCTATACCTGGCACACACTGGGCTGATTGACTCTGCCTTGCCAGCAGCTGGACCAAGGGCCATGGCTGGGAAGGCCATTTTCTACTTGTTAAAGTTAGGTCCCATCATCTGGTGAGCCATACCTGTATCTACCTTCACACCTCCCTGATCTTAAGGGACAGTGTGGTACAGTTAGTATCCTGAAAATTGAGAGAAAATACAGATGACAATATCTGGCTAACCACTGTTTTATTTCATCAATGTACACAGGCTTTGAGAGCTTAGGCTGCCATTTTGCCTTTGGTATTTTAGAAATTCTACCAGTGGCATCATAAATTTTATTGACTTTGGTGATGTATTTTACTCATGTACCAAAACTAGACGCTTTACTATGGATAGACATTCCACTAGATATATAATTAATGGCAGCCTTATACTTGCTATTTGACAACTGGTACCTATTCTTGGTGAATACTGGGACATCTACACTATCAGGATCAATACACGGGATAGGCACATTTTTTTAAAACAAAGCATATTTCTCATGTGCATCATTACTCTCAATTATGAAATACACAACAGGTGCAGCTGGCTCTTCAGATGTTATCAGAGGCACATAGAAAGTTTCAAATATCTAAGAACTTTAACTGGCAACTCTGGGATCCAGTGTGCAGGGACATGTTACAACTGAGTAAACTGTGAGGGTGTATGTACCTCATTGTTCCCAATGATCCTGGTATGAGAGACTTTGGTGGCAGGCTGTGAGTGCTTCTTTCTAGAACTTAGGTTACTTTATCTTGATTTATATGTAGGGCAGTTATATGAAACTAACACCTTGAGAGACTTGAGTATTGGGCTCAATGTGCCCATTCTGTGTTCTGGGTCTGTTCCTTGACCTTATGTGTTGTCCTATTGGACAGTATTACTTTTGTCCTGTTTAAAGAGCTGGTTGAGTGCTGTGCTGTCTGTTCATCAGAAAATAAAACAAAACTATTTTTAATTTAGATATATATTTAACTTAGATTTTTCTGTTGTTTTTTGTTGTTGTTTACTCTTTATGTATTCTTAATTTAAATTACAATTTATATTTTTGTGATTTGGAGTGTATAATAATTTACTAGAGTCTATTTTAGAAAATTTTACATTTTATTTATTTTCATGTCTATATATAGCTAATAAAAGTGAATTTTTTATGGATTTTAATCTTAGTGGAGCTTCTTGATTTGGGTTGCTTTGCCTTATTTTTTACCATATAGTCAAATCAGATTTCAGATTCTGAAATTATTTTTTGAGTTTACTAATGGCTTTCAATCATGATTTTAAATTCAGTTCCTGCAATTTGAAAAATTCAAATAAAACACCAAAAAATATTTATTTAATAAAAAGGTCAAATTGCAAATATGGTTCGATTTTTTGGTGTTGAATTTGACAATCCTGTATTCTGCCTCGCACGTTCTGAATCTACAGTATTGGTTTAGAGAAAAAGATGACACTGTTATCATAAAAAACAATTCCCTATAGTATAATGTAAAAGACACAACTATGAGCCTTTATCCAGATTTGAGAAGAAATTCCCCCTGCCTTATGGACCACAGGCCCAGTCAGTCTTTTTACACCTGAGATACTTTCTTCATGGGCTATTATATACACCAAAATCGCATATTCTCTTGTATTTTCCTGGTGTTAGGATCCTTAGGATTTGTCCTGGCAGATTTAATAATACCTCAGTATGTGATTTTCTGACATCCCCTGTAATTTTATTTTATATTCCAAATACATATATATTTTTGAGCTCAATAATGACTTACATTTATGATATGAAATTTAGCTAAAGGATTTGGCAATATTAGATTTGAAAAACATAAAAAACTTAATAAACAAGGCTTGGGGATTTGAACAATTCACTTTGAATTCCTATTAGTTTATTTTATTCACACAAAAAATGTACACTATTTTAGTAAACAGCATACCTACATGTACGTTTATGTCTTATATTTTAGTAAGTAAAATGCCAAAAAAGATTGAATGTACATAATTACCAAACCAAATATAATAATACAAATTATTTATGTTGGATTTGAAATTTGCACATTTTTCAAGTAGGTTGTACTTTTACAGTACTAATGAGTTTAAAATTTTATTTCATATCTGAACTTATCAATATATTTTCTGAAAAATTATCTTATAGTATACATCAAATTTTAGTACAAACTGTAATAAAGTTCCAGGTTTTATGAAATCACTATTTTGAGCATTTATGATATCGGTTGCGATTTTAATTTAAGAACCATTCTAGTTTTCAAGATATAAATAATAGAGGTTTTATAAATATATTTAAAAACATAATATCGTGGATTATTATCAAAAAAAGAATTATAATAAAGCTTATTTTATTAATAAAAAATCATAATTTATCAACAGACTATGTATTTTTCGCGGTTTTAACAAAATTATTAACCAAGGTTACGTAGACGTCATCTTAAACCCCGAAAAAGGGTGTGTTTTCATCCTAGAAATAACAAGGTTGCGTAGTGTAATGGTTAGCACACAGGATTTTGATTCCTGTAATCCGAGTTCGATCCCCGGCGCGACCTATTTCGAAGCTTTTCACTTACTGATATAAATAGTGTTATTTTAGCTAGTTTGCTTAAAGCATATATTTCAAAAAAGTATATATATTATATATAGTGCTAAATAGAAGAGTGGACATTTTGATGATTTCGATAGCCACATACACTTTTAAGTTACCCTAAAATTAAAGTTTTTAACTGATAGATATATTATGTATTTTTTACTTAGGGAAAGGTTATAGCACAGAAGACCAAAAACTGGATTGTTTTTAACAGCTATGGTTAATAAAAATGAGAAGGCAATCATTTTCCCAGTCATAGTCATTTCAATTATATCATACAGTTAAGGCTGTTTTGGTAAGCCCTAAACAGCTGCATCTAGTCTCTGGCTCTGGTTGTCAGAGACTACTTACCATTCATGCACTTGTATACTTGGTGAAGAAGCTGAGGAGCAGGGAAGTGGCAGGGCCAGATATAGCACTGATTCTAACTTTATAAGGTAGAAGATTGTATGGCCTAAGGGACTATTTGCCCAAATATGAGGTCATAGAGCTGTTAAGATGAACTTTTGCCAAGTAAAATAGGCTTAGATAACTAGAGGACGCCAGGAAAGACAATATTTCAGTATCAACTTGACTTCTCACCTGTGGGCTGAGGTGGAAGAGTTGATAGAAGGTGGATATAAAACAATCTGGATTGAGATTGCTATATATAAAAGCAGGTTGTGATATAAAATGTTGACTGTCATGTATAACTCATGTGTGAGTACTTTTGTTATGGCCTGGGTTGCTCCCAGGGGAAACTTCAGTTGAGGGGAAGGGTTGAGCCTGGAAGGCCCAGTAGATGACGGGGCCCATCCACATAACATAATTGGCAGCTGTGGACCAAGGACACCACACTCCCATGTGGGGAATCACTTGCTCAGTGAGTCCCAGCATGGTCAGATAGGCAAACCCAAGCTTGCTGCAATCATAAAATGGCGCAGAAGAAACAAGGGGGAGTGTGACAATCCACATGGAAGCAGTTTTGCAGGCAAGGGTTGATTTGGCTTCAAATAAAGGTGCAATGCTAAAAGTTGACAGTGTGTTGTGGTTTTGAGACAGGTATAGGCCTAGTAGGGAACATTGGCTACTAGGGAAGACAAGGCCTGCCTAGTAGTTAACAAAGGACTACTAGAGGCAAATGATAAACCAGCCCACCAGGGAACAATGGCTGCTAGGGGTGGGGAGTGGACCACTATTGTAACTTTGAAATTTTAGCAGACTTACAAGGGAAAAATATTTGTAAACTAGAAAATAATCTTTATTAGGAGATACATATTATATAGTCATTTTGAATATTGGGTAACAGGAACATGATAGTGTTGATCACACAGTGGGATGGTGAAGGGGGTGGCCTGATCCTGGTAATGATTCAAGAGCCAAAATAAGGTATCCACCATAAGGGATCATCATTTATTCATGTTGTTGGATTTGGTAATTCAAGTTGACTTCCTAGTTTGGCTTTGAGTAACTGGATAATCAGATTACAGGTTGCAAACCTGTTTACTTGGAACCTTGCTGGCAGGTTGAGTCTGCTGTTTTGACACCCCCTGGCTGAAGGTAGCCTCCTCTGGTGACAGGTTATTGGGAGCCTGGGCGCCATATTGTACCAACTGCTGTTTGGTGGTGGGTAGCACAGTCTTGCATTGTTTCTATCTTGCTTTGCAGGGCCTTAGGTGGTTGTGGTGGAGGACTTTATATTGCTTGCACTTTCCAAGCCCTTGCACAAGGTAAGTGTTCCTTTTGCTTACCTTTAGGAAAATGGCAGGGCCCACTTTCTCTGGCTGTAATTTACTCTTGTTGATGTTTATTACCCAGATTTTGTTGCCAACCTCGTGTCTTTTTTGGATGGGGACAAAGGTATCCAGTAGGCGTTCTCTTTCTTTTTCTAGTTGGTTGCTGTTGGCCTGTATGATTTGAGGGTCCGAGTGTGGTGGAACTTTACTGGGCATTTCCAGCTTGGGTCCTGATATTGATTGGATAATATTGGATTGTATGCCATAAACTATCTTGAAGGGGCTTTTTCTGGTGGATCTGTTCATGCGGGTCCAGCATACAAGCAATGCAGTTGGTAGCTTCTTATACCAGTCCTCAGGTCTCCTGGCGGTGAGCTTGGCCAGGGCTTGCACTAGGCTGTCATTCAGCCGCTCCACACGTCTATTGGCATGAGGGTGGTAAGGTGTTGTCACTGTGTTCTGGACCCCATTTTTGGTGAGGTAAACATTGGTATCTTCAGAGGTCAATTCTTTGCCTCTGTCAGTTATCAGGAGTTCTGGCTTTCTGAACTTGCTGATGATCTCCTTTCATATGAACCACCACACATCATTGCCTGTGTGGGATTTACTGCTTGTGCCACTGGCCAGTAAGTGGCAAAGTTGATAGCAGTGATGATGTATTTCTTTTTGCTGTGCTTTCCTGGCATGGGTCCTACAATGTCAGGGCCCACACCTTAAAAGGCAGTTTTGAACAAATAGGCAGTACAGATTTAGGGGGAGTGTTGCTTTTTGCAAATTTTTCACATAATTCACATTGCTCTAGGACTTCCTGGACATCCTGGTATAGGGGTGGCCACTATGCTTTGTGTTTAAAGAACTTGTAGAGGTTGCGGCTTTTGGTATGTCCTAGGTTCCTGTGGTAATATAGGATAGTGTCTACACGTTGATATGTAGGGATGTAAGGTATGATGGTTCCATCAGTCATTTTGTGGTATAAGGTTCTGTACATGTTGGCAAATAGATGCTTGCTTGTGATGACTATCTCCTTTGTAATATCAGTGGTGCCAGGAGGGAAACCCTCATCCTTTGTTCAGAGTACCAGGAGAGCCCAGTCTGGGTTGATCCCATTTTTACCTCTTGTAGCTCTAACGTACAGGTGCAAGAAAGCATCTTCCATGGCAAGTTCTCCACCAGGTTTGTACTTTATGATCATGTTGAATCTTTCCAGGAGTTTCATCCATTGTTCTTGTTGGCAGGAGAGGTTTGCCTGGGCTTTAAAATATATGAGCAATTTGTGATTGGTCAAGACTGTAAATTCCTCTTGTTGTTCTAAGTAACAACATCATTTGACCAAACAATGTACAATGGCCAGCAATTCTTTGTAATGTATTGGGTATCAGAACTCATTGTCTGTGAGTTTGTGTGATTTGTAAGCTACAGGTAGAAAGTTGCCATTGCTGTTCTTGATGCGTAAAAACCCTCCAGTGAATGCATTGGAGGTGTCTGTTTCCATTTGATACTCCCCATTGCGTTTGAGGTATTTTAGGATAGGCACAGTGGTGAGTTTTCTCTTAAGGCGTCTGAAGCAAAGGTCACATTGTGGGGTCCATACAAATTTGGATTTGCCGCCAGTTATGGCAGACAGAGGTGCAGTCAGGACACCACAATTAGAGATCAGCCACCACATGTAGGCAACCATTCCCAGGAATGTATGGAGCTCTGACTTGTCTTTGGGAGATGGCATCTTACAGATAGCTTGAATTTTCTGGTTAATTGGTTTAATGTCATCCTTTGAGACCATGTGTCCCAGGAAGGGCAGTTATTTGCAGAAGAATTGGCATTTGGAGGGTTTGGCTAACAGTTTGTGTTGTGCCAGGATGGCAAACACTGCTTTCAGGTCCTTGTGATGTTAATCTACCAAAGGGCTGTAGACAATGATATTATCTAGGTATACTAGGGCATGTTTGCCAATATGGGGAGCAAACTCCTTGTTAATGAAAGTCATAAAGGTTGAAGGCGCATTTGTCATTCCAAAATTGAGCACCAAACATTTGTATGATATGTACTTAGTACAGAAGACCGTTTTGGGTATATCTTCCTCCTTGATGTGGATTTGGTTGTAACCCGCGGTTAGGTCAATTTTGGAGAATAAAGTGGCACCACCCAGGGCATCAAAAAAGATTTTCAATGAGTGGGAGCAGGTAGCAATTATTGATAGTGAATTTGTTGAGGGCTCAGTAATCTGTGACCACTTGAAGAGCACCATCTTTCTTTGCCACAAAGAATACAGCAGCACCAAAAGGCAACTGTGAGGAGTGAATAAATCCTTTCTCTAATGCTTCCTTGAGGTAAGCACATAGGGTGTTGTATTTGTTTGGAGTCAGACAATAAATGGGTTGTGCCTTAGGTACAGCTCCTTTGAGTTGGATGTAGTGTTGGATATGCTTTTCTGGAGGCAACCTGGGTAAAGCCTCCTTGAAGATTTCTGGATGGCGGGCTACAATTTCACAATCTTGAGACGTGGAGGTATCCTGGTGGTCTTTGAAGTGTATGATCTTGTACTGGCAGGAATCCCAGTTGATTGTCTTGAGGTTTTCTTTTTTTTTGTCCAGGGTCTCCATGATACGCACAAAGACATGGTCACATAGGAGCTGGTCTACCGAGTCAGGGTAGATTTGGTGCTTGACACCTTCACACTTGATGGTTAATACTGAGGTTGCCCAGTCTACATGGGGGTTATTCCTCTGTAGTCAGTCCAGCCCTAGTACAACATCAAATTTGAGGAAGTCAATGAAAGGTCCCTGAATGGTGGAGTGTAGGTTCTCTAGTATGATGGAGAAAGGGGCTGTTTCCTTTGTCATGGCAATGTAATGTTCATTGGCTAGGTCCAATTTTTTAATCTGCAATGGATTAGTGGCCAGCTTGAACTTTTCTACAAAGCTGCTGTTGACTAGGGTTTGGTCTGCGCCCAAGTCCAGGAGTGCTGAGCCTGTGTAACTGCAAAGGCAGAAATGATAGGACATCAGTTTATTGGGATGTCTGGAAATGGTGTAAAGTACTGGGTCTTCTGAGGGTACTTGGATCATTGGGCATTGGTCCACGTCCTTGGGGCGGTACTCATTGTTGGGCAAGTTGGGAATTGTGCAGGGAGAGCTTGGCTTGCTTACTGCTCTCCCTGGGCTTTCCCCTTGTCTTGGTTGTCTTGTTTAGTGGTGACACAGAAATGGGTACAATTTGACTACCCATTGTTCCCGTTTCTGTGTCTATT